TGGCAGTCGTCGCGGTGGACGGCGGCAACGCACAGGGCGTACACGAACTGACCCTCGTTGACGTGGTCGCGGGCCCAGGCGGCGGTCTGGATGAAGGTCTCAAAGTCCTTGGCGAAGTAGAACATGTCGAACAGGGCAACGGCCTCCTTGAGGTGGGAGTCGTTGTGCACGTGGAAGATCTCGCCCTGGGGAAGCATGCCCTGCTTGTACATGGACACGAACTTCTTCACCACGGTGGGGTGGGCGTACTGGTTGGCGAACTGCTCGGGGTTCCAGGCCTGGCCGAGGGCGACCAGCTCGGGGTACATGTTCTTCTGGGAGACATTCTTCAGCAGCTGGAGGATGTACTTCTGCTTCTGGGCGACGTCCTGGCCACCTGAAGGAGAAACAATCGGCTTTAGACTCTAGTTGACGCTTCGCTTAACTAATAGTGCGCGATGACAGGTGTTCCCATACGACGAGACTTTTTGGTAGGGATTAGGATCAACCCCATTATCGAAGTCCACCACAGGACTCCATAATATTTACACACGTGGTAAGAATATTGTCGGGTCCTTATTAACTTTTACGAACTTTTATGATAATCATAAAACTTTCTGACACAAAAATATTTATCCTTTCTCGACAGTTACGCACTGTTAAAGTCTTACGAAGAAAGATGCCAAATCCTTTGTAATACAAAGGATTCGGACGCTTCGTAGGGAGCAAATCCTTCGTAGGTACGAAGCATTTGGCAGTTTGCTTCGTCAGACTTTAACTGTGCGTAGATTGGGTACGAATCGTATGACCGAGCGGCGGTTGTTGTACTCACCAGTCTTGGTGTTCTGGTAGTTGCCGTGGTGGACGTTGTGGTTGGGGATTTGCAGGGCCGAAGCCACCGCCAGAGCCGCCAGAAGAGCAATGGTCGCCTTGTGCATCGTCGATGAGATGACCGAAACTGGTACCGGTCGAGTGTCCGCCCTTGCCTTTTATACCATTTGCGCTACCGACTCAGACTCTCTTTATCAGCGTTGGTAACGGAACGTTCTGTTTTTATTTTCTTCTTTTTTCACCGCGTCTTCTCCTCGCTCTCGGCCCTTCTCGACGCGGCCTGGCAACGTACTCGCAAAACGATAAACGACACACCCACCGACGTCGTCAAGGCGAAGATGCGAGTTTTTCCATCGCTTAGAGACGAGTCGAGGAGGGGCGTGTGCAAGATATAAAATGAGGGTGTGCTTGATATAAACGGTATTACGTTTAGTACGAAATAAAGAATGTTTTGATACCGGCTTCGAAAACCTTATTAATTATCCGCGTTTTTAGTTATACTTTATCAGCGCATTTGATGCAAAAATAAAGCATGTTATATGCGAAAAATTAAATGAGTCAATTTTTCGGCGCAGAGACCACTTACTTGAGGCCGAGTGTGGTCTATAAATACACACAACTATACTCTTATGAATTATTTTGTTCATAAAACTTGCCGAGTTTTATACAGGCATATGGTATGCACAACTTCGTGCATAACTACGTACAATTCGGGCATAGTTTTGCACAATTTGTAAATAACTATGCCTAAAATTGTGCATCGTTATGGCTGTAAAAAACTCTGCAAGTCTTATGCACAAGTTAATGCATACGGGTATTGTGTGAAAGTCGAAGTAAGAATGTTTGTACGGCTTCCGTTTTACCTCGTTTACAGCACCTGCTTTTCCCGATATCACACGACGTGGTTACGCAGCCAAGAGTCCTAATTATCCCCCTACGATCGCAAATCGCGCCGGGTACACGGTTAGCGGCACGAGTGTCGGTAGGCCCATAAAACACCGACCGGGCCCCCCGCTCATGTATTATGTGCTTAATGATCTCCGTTATTGCGCGATAGTTCACCGGGCGGCTGCGAAACTAGATACCTCCTCGCGGCATAGACCCCTTCCCCGCTCCGCGCACACGGGAGGAGGGACTTGACATGCGGCACTCACCAGGGCCAGGATGGCGGAGGCAGGGTGGTCGTCGTCGAGGAGGGTGACGTTGAAGAACCGCGAGCAAAATGTGACGCCTCGCTACTCCACAGGGGCACAGTTGCGGTTTTCCAAAACCTGCGACTGACTGTAAAACAAAGAATTGAAAAGAAATCATCAGAATTATAAGAAGAGTTCGAAAGCAACAATTTGAATCGTAACCTGATATTGTAAAATCATCTAACGGACGAGATAACGGTTTGCAATGATGATTAGTCTACTCTACTATGAGCCAAAACTGAACTTTCGTAGCCTTCTTTTCTTCATTCACGTCAGGGCAGTTTTAATTTATTTTTCAACCCAAATATATTTGGTAAACACTCTATATAATTTTTTTTCGAAAATTTAGAGTCCGCCCTATGGTGTGCCTTACGAGGGGCGTGGCCCCCAGCTGTCGCCGTGCCTTCGCCCCGGGGTCAAGCCAGCGGCAGATACTCTGATACCGCCGCCAAAACAGGGGTCGGCGCCAGTAGATAGTATTTATCGGGCCCCCCATCAGACTTTCGGGGCGCGCCGCGCCGCGCCTGGTCAGGGGGTCAGGTTACGCGGTCCGACGATGGAGGGGGGGGGAGGGGGCAAGTTGGTCGCCAGTGGGGGGCGTGGTCGCTGGGCGGCCTGACGCTTCCGAACGAAGAACGCTCCTACTACTACCATCCATGCGACCCAACAAATCCCTCTCTCTATAGCAGCAGAGTAAGCAGTTGCTCCAACAATTTTTGCTCATTTTGCAGAAAATGCCTGTCGTCTCTCCGCCGTCGCGCGAAGGGGGCAGAGTCACGGGATGAAAAGGGGAAAGGGGAGGGGAATGGGGG